TTTCTAATAAATACTATTCATAACTTACTGAAATATTCAAATTTTCAGTTTGTTGATAAATGTTCTCGCACAGATATAATATGTGACATTGTAACAGAAGACAAAAATAGGATAATGAAAGTAATATATGTATGTATATGTATATATGTAATATAGAAAAGTAAATAAACCAAAATCATCGAAAGTGCTAATACATATTGTAAGGTCATGTGAGCATGACATGACCCCATAATATATATGTGTTTACTTCTTTATATAAGCCTGCGGGAATAGTGCATAAAAAAATCTACTGAAAGAATAATGTATATGTTATCGTAATATTCAGCAACTGGGATAATCGCAGTTTTCTTTTTGAAAGAATATATTTCTCATACTGAAAGATGAGAACATTCTTTTACATAAACTGATTGAATAGAATTAATCATCCTATCCCGATAATCGATGCAATGAACTTCTCTAATGATAGTTTAACCTGAAATGACTGCGAATGCTACACTTTTTCGAATGGTTTTTTTTCAGTCAGTCTACTTGTTAATTAGAATTTCACGATTTCAATCACTTTGTTTTTATCAGGCAGACAGCAATTATGATTTTTCCGATAGTTTAGCAATTTCGAACATGCTGCATCTTCTAGCACGAACGCATCACAAGTTAGACAACGTCAAATTTCGTGCTGAAATCTTCCTAATAGCTCTACAAAAGGGTGGCATACTTTCAACTGCTTAAATCATACCCGCTAGAAATGATTTTATTTGTGTTGCACTTATTCAATCCAACCAAAAATTTCTGCATACCTAATCTACGAAATTGAAACTTTAAAATTTAAAAGATAAGTCTATCAAATATCATTTTCTGTAAAGCAACATTTCTCGAGCGATTGGTCCAACTATTCGGGCATATTCTTCCATGAATGTTTCCGTTTCTTTAAAACCCGGTAGTGTTAACAAAACCTGATAAGGAAGGACAGTCCTGGAAAAAATTTGTTAGTAATAACTGTGAATCGCAGTATTTCTGAATCTCATAATACATTAAGCCTTGCTTCAAGTCAATAGAATTAACTTACATTTTGTAAAGACATCTTACAGATTGCACTGGACATTTTTCAGCTACTGGAGCATCTGGAGCGAATGCTTCAATTCGTTCACCGCATTTCTCTATCATTTCCAAACATCTTTCCATGGGTACCCACGTAAAACTACGATCACACAGCAAATAGGAAGGATGAAAGCGTCCTTTGTAGCGCATTTTCTGACATGAATGAATGTAAAAACCCATATAGTAGTAGTGTAATTGCGGTCTTTCCTTTGCAAGCTCCTGAGTAAATGCAATTTCCCTGAAATTCATGGAAGTTTAAGCTTAAATATAATAATTTGTAAATTTAAAAGACCCAGAAAATAATCTGCTGAAGGTGAAAATTTCTTTGCTTTTCAGATCGGAGAAAACTTTTTGCTCTAGCAAAACAAATTTCAAATTATTAGATTTTATTCTAATTAAAAGCTATATTTTGCCCAACCTTCCACGTAAACCAACGAGTGGCTTATTTATAGAGTGTAGAAATACTCCAAAATTCCGCAATTTAAAGAAATCAATACTACAAAACTCCGAAATTCCTGTTTAAAATGCAATTTTTCCGATATTTTTTGAATTATACATCATAAAGCAGCACGAAGAAAGCGGAATTTAATTTATCGTCATTCGAAGTATTGCTGATCTAAACGATCAACTACATGTAAAATTTAAAGTTTACGATCATACCGTAAAGCAGTATACGTTCCAAGGGTGAGAAATTCATAGTCAGGATCGTAATAGAGATATTTGGCTGATAGACAACGTGGCAAAATATCCACAACACCAACAGCTATCAGATGCCCATCAAGATAATACTGTTGATGATATGAACCAAGCGCGACACTCTGAAATCCATTTATTTTCCTCACTGATATTTTTTTTAAAAAGGACCATAAATTTAGAAAATATATTTGAGCAATTGGAAATTAAGACAAATTCTTTTTAGCAGCGCCTATTAAAAATCAGAGCAAAAGACTTGTGGAAAATAAAAGGATAATTATAAAAAACGGAAATTAAAATCGTCAAAATGAATTAAATTAAATATAACATACCTTACTTTCGTCTCTTTCGTCGTTGAAAAGTGGTGAATCTGCAAGAAAATTCCGATAGCCAGCCTTATTACAGCGAGTATCATGATGAACATTCGTTTGGTATTTCTCGTACAATTTAAAGCTTTCTTTGAAAGTCTCACAAAACTCAGATGAATTTGAGTCAACCAAACGTACCTAACAACAAAAAATTTATGATCACTTAAGAAAGAAAAGAAATTTTTTAACAAGTTTAGGTTCAAAGACGAAAAGAGAGGGTGATCACTAAAATCTGTCAGTATAATAAAAACTTCCAAACTGATTAGAGAGAAAAAAGTAAAGGCAAACAAAATTTCCAGAACAAAAAAATAAATTTGCACATTATTTGAACATTTATTTCCTCGTTTTATATGTCACTTCTAAATAATAAGTTACTTCTAATTTATGCTTAAAAGTTTCCGAATCGTAATTGACGATGAATGATCCCAGTGTTCTTCTCCGACATTCTTCTTTTTCTTGACGTATTCTTTGAGCCTAAAATTACTGGAAGTTAGACTATTCAAATCAAAAAAGTCAGTTCTCAATGCAATGTGTTTGATAACTGATCATAAGCTAATTAAATCCAAACCTCCTTGATATTGATTCCTTTGTCGCGCATTTTTTGTAATGCTCTTTCTCTCCTAAGGATTTTTTTCTTTCTTCCTTTTTTCTGAAGCTCATTATTTAATGTTTTTTTCTCATCATCTTGAACTTTTTTGACTTGAGAATTTGATGCGCTGCTTTTAGTCGTTTTTTTCGCTACATTGTACTCCGATATTTTTGTTCGTAGGTTCGGTCGAATATCTTTCTGGAGAAAATCATTCATTCGACGCAATACTCTCTTTTGTGCTTTTGATAAGCGAAAATTGCTGACATCAAGTCTAAAATCAAATTTTTCACATTGAGATCAAGTTTATACCTCATTAGATGCTTCGAAACACTACACATGATGATGAAAATTATGTTATCTAATAAAATGAAAAAAAAAAACACTCTAGAAATAGAAATAGATACCTGATTGTATATTGTGGACAGCATGTATTAGCAATCATCGGCTTGTACAAATATTTACCAGATCTGAAAATTAAACATTGGTTAAACGCACCGTAAAGATAAATATTTAAAAATGATACCTTCTCATCCCTCTATCAAGTAATTCGTTATAGTGTGATACCAAAAGACTGCGTGTCCACATACCTGAAATTTTGTGCCTAGAATTCAACAGATGCCGCAAGATCTCGATAATATACGAAAAAATTGTTTGAAAACAAAAGTGACTTGATCTGCTTTGCACCAGTATTTCGCAACTGATAAGTGAATTTCAGGCAAATTTTCCTTTATAAAGAAAGATAAAAAGCTTGAGCAACAAGGCATTTCTGTCACTTTTGTTTCATTTATCGAATTACCGATTACATCCTCTATCTAAGAGCTGATTAAAGTGCTCGCATGACAGATGATATCCCATAACTCCTGCAATAATCAACGCTATTTTCATAACCATTTTAACTATCGGATAGATAAGTTTTTCATCTCAAACAAAAACTCCCTAAATGTTCAACTAAGTTAAAAATGCAGAAAATTTTGAGAAAGTTAGTGCTAATAGAAACAACGGAAATAATTCCGCGACTGAATTAAATGGGATACCAATACTGGTTGGAGTTGCTTCCACTTGACGACAATAACCGCACAGACCACCTTCATTGTAACCAATATATTCAACAATGGAATATTGTTGTTGCTGCTGCTGCTGTTGTATTTCCACATCACTTGCAATTGACATCACTAAATATTTTTGCTTGAAACATATATGTTCCACACAAAAACACACATTAATTACACGTTAGCGTAATAGTTGTCATATATAAGTCAGACAAGAGAAATGTCTATCATTAACATTTGAAGAATATCAATTATCATTTATTTCTATTTTCTAACAGACAACTGCATCAAAATTATGAATCTTCTTTATTCTCTTGTTTCTTTTCTTTTTCCTTTTTTCGTGATGTGCGCTTCTTTAACAATAATTCTTCTTTCTCTGCTAATTTGGCTGCCTGTAATCTCCACATTTAGTTAATAGATCGATTAAAGAAACAAAGTGAAAAGATTAAAGAGAGCATTCGAAATCACCATTAAGCAAGAATTAACGTAATTTAAAAAAATCGATATTTCGCTAAAGAATTATAAGAAGCAACATTTCATTGACAGTATGATAACCACTAACTTTCTTCTTTGCTTCAATCATTCTTTCAAACAAAATTGGGAATCGTGGATCTTTAGGCGAGACTTCATAACCATAATATTCAAGCATATCTTTAGCTTGTTCCTCTGCTTCTAATTCTTGTTTCGATTTCACAGGAACTACCTCTTTTCGATTCTCCAAAAATTCCTTCAACATTTCCGGATACTTCTCTTCAAGTGCGGCCACTTCTTTAAGTCTAGAATGAGTAACATTTTAGCATGATTCGTTTAGCAGGAAAACGAATTTTATGTTTCCGGGATGAATGATTACCTTGTTAAAGTAGTGAAACTTTCCAACTTCTTTGCATCTTCCACACGTTTTAAAGCATCACTGTACTTCACATACCACCCGATCGCTTCTTCTTCCTGAATTTCCTAAAATAATGTCTTACTTGCTTTTCTTTATTAGTTCCACAGTGCAATTATAAAATAAGTTTTTTTTTTTTCTCGAAATATGGCAAAACAATTTGAAAGAATGATCAACCAGCAAAGTAAAAATTAAATCTCGCTTTAAAAATAATAATAACAAGGCAAAATTCAGTTCAATTCATTGTAGAAGGCAATAAATGCATAATCAGCCATCTAATACTACTTGAACTTTCAAATTTAAAAGAAAAAAATTGGATAAAAGATAACGAATGATGAATGAAATTTGCAATCTTCACTTCAACAGTAGGCCATAACTCTGCAGGATTAACACCGCTAGCCAAACCATAAGTACCGAAACGTTCACGTTTTGCCCAACGCTCTTTCTCCCATTCATAAGATACAGGTGGTAAGCGACCTTCAGCAATTAAACGATGCCTTTCGGTTAATCTGTAATTTGGAAATGATACTCATCAAGCTTAATACCTGCAACATTTATTTAAATGCGTGAGTAATAAGTATAGCAGAAATAATAAAGGTAAAAGGTCAAGTTTAACATTACCTTGATACAACTCTGGTATTCCTATTACCAGACTGCCTGTCCGGTAGGCTTGACGAGCTGTCAGCAACATCTGAGGTTCCTGCTGTTGTTACTGTATCGAGGAAAGATGAATATCGTACCACACATATTACCGGTAATCGGCTATACTTCATCATTACTACCATATGAAGAAGGAAAAACTGAAGACAGCCCAGAAAATACGCTCCGGTACGTTCCGTTAATTTCTCGGAATACGGTATCGGTCGACTTACAGCAGGTAGGGGTTTTCATTGTTGGCTACTCGACCCGCGTGTTTTAGAAGTGACTTCGGTGTTGAGAAGACGTGCTGTCATATTTCCGGGTAAGCTAATTAGACGTACATCTTTCGTGCTTGTCGTATTTATGTCTAATACATGGTTTCTAGATTTTAGTAGAATTGATTGGAGGATATAATTATGTGATTACTTATGGTAGCAATTAATTAGAATTAATTAATCTTAATTTATCCTAACTTGCAGTTAGGATTGGTTGCTTCAGGTGGATTCTCTTTTTTTTTCTTCTAAATGATATTTATTTAAAAATCACTTATATGAAACATTTTTAGGGTGGTTTTTTTATGATTTATGTTAAAGCCACCAAAGTGGCTTTGGTTTCTCGATCTAACAGTTGGTATTGTATTCGTTTCCGGTATTACGTCGTTTATTATTTGGCGACGTTCGGAAGATTTTAGAAAGGATACTTTCTCTCGTGTACCCCGAATTGCTGATTATTTTTATCGGGTTTGTTTTTCATTATTTATTGATTTTTTTATTTTCTAATCCGTGAGGAAACACATTATTAATGATGCTGTTCATTTAATGTTTGACATCTTTCTTTTTTCTTGAGGAATCTTTTGTAGTTAATTTTTAGGCGGAAGATATAATTGGTGGACAACTTCGAGGCACACGTTTAAAAAGAAAAGATTATCATAAATGGTTCCCGGAAGAAGACAATAATCAGTGACCTCTTCTAAATTGCTCCATTATGATAATTAAACTTTCTCATATTAAAGCTTGCATGCTTCCTGTTGGTCTTCTATGTAAGTAGTAGTTATTTTAATTTGCATATTCTTATAATTCGATGCTTATTCAAAGATTCAAATTTCTACTTGGACTACTCATTCATACGTTGCCATAATTAAATTCAGTTATGTCAAAATAGGGTTTCTTAATTTATTTCATCTAACAAAACGATCGCTCACTCTCTTGCGAGAAAGAGGCAGAAATAAATGATAAAATAAATAAGAGAGTGGACACTTTAAAAGAACGAAAAATTAGTTTATATCTTCAAACGTACTAAATTTCTACAGTGAATGTAGTCTGTTTCAAATATATTTCATTTCAGCTGGTATGTTATCTTATCTGATGTATGAAAAATGGAAGGAAAAAGAACCTCCAAGAGCAATGCCAATTCAAAGTTTGAATCGTTTTGAGAAAATGATGGAATCTATGGAAGGATCTATGATGCGACCGAAAACGAACAACTGATTTGATTCGCTTTATTATATAAAACAATATGTAGAACCTTGTATATTATTTTACCTACCAATCATTTCTCAAGTTTTAACGTTATCATTTCAAAATGGTGAAATTTTCATTGAACAAAAATGAAGAACAGTTTTGAATAGATTGTGCTTTCCATGAATAGAATTTCTATTCGTTCTGCTAATAATGTATTGTGTATGACGATCTATTCAGCATCTGTTCTTACTAATTCTTATTTTTTCGGGTTTTTTTATGCAATCAGTATAGTGAGTATTCTGATAGCTTCCTGCTTTTTTGGCAGTGTAATATGTTGTCTTTTCATTGTGAAATTATTTATGAAAGATTTTTTGCGTTTTTTAAAGGTATTTTTTAAAGAATTTTTGAGGATCACCTTCCGCTTTTACTGCTTTTTGGTGTAAGAGAAAGTGGAAAAGTGAATTTTCAGTTAATATTTAATTTTTGAGGTATTTTTATTCGTAATATTAATATTTAATAAGTAGTATTAATGTTTAACTAAGAAATAGCACATTTTACTGAATTCTTTCGAAAAAACTGATCGTAATAAAAAATTTTTCAGTGTTCTTGATAGTTTTTGAAGTGTTAGTCAACTTTGCTTTCAAGATGAGTATTCCCATGAAAGTACCCACTCCAACACCACCTGCAAAGGGATCCTTCCCTCTGGATCATGAAGGACAGTGCAGATATGAAATGTTGAAATATATGCTTTGCTTGAATGAGCATAAGGTGGGCAGTGGCTAAGTGCTATTTTTTGATTTTCTATTTTTTAATTTTTAAAAGGAACGAGGGAATGTTTCCAATCCCTGTTGTTATATTTTTTTCAGCAAAAGATTGGTGAATGTCGTAATTTTGCAAAAATTTATTTCAAATGTCGGATGGACAATGGATTAATGCAACAGGAGGAATGGAAGTACCTCGGCTTCTCCGATAATGATGAAACGTAATTATGAGAAATTTTTTTGATCTTATAAAAATTTAATTCTCAAGCATAGATCGATTTGTTTCATTTACAAAAAACGTGACGAAGTTGATCATAGCATTTCGTTAATGCAAAATATTTGCCCTGTAAAAACATCTTACAATATTTTTATATTAAGTTTGCTAAGAAATGTACGATAAAAATTTGCAAGACATGCTAAAACATAACAAAAAAAAAAAAGTTAAAGCAAAGTTGGAATCAAACATAAACTCTATATCTTCTGGGATGCTTTTGTTAACTGTAGCCAACGCAATCAAGAAATAGCTTGTGGCCAGTTCTTCGCCACTTGCGAATTACATAAATCCTGGACATGGACTGGATAAATGTCTTTGATTTTTTTTTTTTTAATTTTGAAGTTGATTTATGCAGAATAAGCGAATTTATTTGAACGAATTGACACCTTCTGAATAGGAAAATTTTTGTTTCTTTCCAGTGATGCTTGTATAAATGAGACCGAATTATACTCTTTAAAAAAGGGGAAGTTAGAAATTCACAATGAATTGTGCTAGTATATGATGATGGGTTGCTTCAAAATATTCATGTTCTATGATGAAGATAAATTTGAGGCAAGACAGCAAACTATAAATTAGCGCTAAAAATTAATGACCAATTATGGATTGTTATATTTTTCGAAAATTATGCTACCTGAATATGCGTCACAAACATTTTTAACTAAAAATTTTGCTAGTGTTGGTAAATAATTCTGCAAATATAATTTCAACCATTTTTGTATCATTTGCAACTAATTAATCAGTTAATTTATCAATATGATATGGTTTCTAGAGGAAGCTGTATAACGGTATGGGAGAGGAGGGAATGAGTTGTACAATTCATTTTGATATGTTCAAGAGGAAAAACGATATTCATGTAATTTGTTTTTTTCTACAATTCAAAGTGATACTCGTAAATTTTTTGCATTCAAGATCAAAAAGATTTTTGGGACAAATTTACTTGTTATAGTGCTGATAAATAAATATAAACAAAAAAAAAAATGAATTACTGGGAATTTTAAATAAATAAGGGACGAGAAAGCATGAAAATAATATTGCAAATCATATTTTGCATTCTTTTAACGACAGCTGACATCATGCTAAAGCTAAATGATCTGTCATATTCCTGCAATGAATGTCATCCGCTCAGGTTGCATGAACTCCTAAACAAAGTTTAAATTCTTAAATGACTGTCATTTTTTTTTCGCCGGTTTTTTTTTTTTGTTTTTCATCGTCATCTATAATAATTATTATGAATCGAAGAGGATGATGAACAAAAAGCATAAAAGTTTTCTTAGTGATGCATGAGATTATGCATTGTTATTGATTTAGTAATTACAATTTTCATTTTCATTATTATTGATTTAAAATCAACCAAGTTTTTTAATCAACAAATTCTGATCTTTGATATTCGTCATTTTCGCTACTCCTCAACACTCCTGATATTCTTGTTTTCAAGCAAATCAACAACCCTAATAATGCCTTAAAAATGAAAGCAATTTATAGATAACAAATTTAAAATTGTCACAAAGAATCTATTTCTTGAAAAGCAAGAGAAAAAAAATAAGTATGACAAATAACTGATATACGTTATGAGGTGATTTTAATAATTACAATTTTCAGTTTCATTGTTATTGACTTAAAATCAAACAGGGTTTTTCAATTCTTATCACAATAATTTCTAAGATCTGTTCTTTCTCTTTCTTTTTTCGCTTACATAATCTCAACTTCTTCGTTCTGCAATTTTTTGGAAAAGTTCATTTATTTATGCAAATGTAATTCTTTCATGTATTGGATGATATCCAATAAATTATTTCATGGACATATGAACTATAAAAAAAAAATTCATTTCCTTTTGATGATATTATACAAGCAGTGGTTGTTCCGATATTTCCTATCATTCATATACTAAAAAAAATTTTTCTGTAGCTATTAAAAATAATTTTAAAACATACTCCTTCATCATTCATCTGTCTTATTTGAAAGGAAATTTTGCTCTCATATAAATTATCGAAGATATTAGAAGGTTACGGTGTTTTCAAAAAAAAGAATAATTTGAAAATATTTATTTTCAAATTATGATTGATACTTGGTAAGTGTAGAATAAAATTTAACTATGAAAAGAATTTATGTAATTGAACGGAGTAAGTGCAGTTATTACAGATTATAATTTATCCTGTGATGTATAATACCTATGACGGATAATTTAGAGAGCAGTATATTTCCTCAATTTTAGCTATTTTACATTTACTATCACGCTTAGGAAAAAGACAGAGGAGGAAAAAAAAGAAAGAGAGAAGGAAGAAAAGTTCGATTATTTAAGTGGCTTTAAATTTGTCCAAAATAATGTTTTCTTAAATGCATTATGTAATCGTATTTTATATTATACACATTCCTTATCATTGCTATTATTACTAAGTTGATAATACATCTTTCATTTCATAATATTTAAGGAATTATGTATTCCTGTTGATAGTTATTGATCTTAAAGCTAAAAGCTATTGATCTCAGATTTAAAAGTTACTGATCCAAGATTTAAAAGTTATTGATCTAAGATTTAAAAAAAAAAAAATTTACAAAGCTTTTTCATAATTAGAACTGATCAATCATAAAATTGCACAATATAACTTTTAACTTTTGTGCAATTTTATGAGAAAGCTTTAATTTTTATTACTGTTGAAAAATTTTTGTTTTCAGATTTTTTTTTCTTTGCAATGAACATAAATGAATTCCGTCAGTATGGTGAACAGATGATTGATTTGGTAGTGAATTATTGGGAAACACTTCGTAATAGAGTTCCGTTACCGGATGTGAAACCTGAATTCATGAATGAATTGGTAATTTTGAATAAGAAAAATACATTATAAAATTTATTGCGAACATCTTTTAGAAAATTCTTGGTATTCTTAATTTTAATGAAATTTTATTAAAATTAATTTAAGAAAAGTTTAATTTGAGGTACCGCAAGATCCACCTGTTATGGGTGAGTTATGGGAGAAAATTTTTAACGATATCGATAAAGTTATTATTAATGCTAACACCCATTGGCAACATCCTAATTTTTTTGCCTATTTCCCAACCGGTATTTCTTATCAGTCTATCATGGGTGATATTCTCAGTGGTGGATTAGCAAGTATTGGATTTAGTTGGGTAAGTTGAAAAATCTTTAAAATACTGCAGTGAATTTTTTTTTTCTCCAACTATGCAAATATTAAGAATAAAAGAGTATAACTTCTGGAATTTCTGTTTTACAGAAGTAATCACTGAATAAATGATATATTAACATTGTAAAAATTTTTAGCAATCATCGCCTTCCATGACGGAACTTGAAATTTTAATGATGAATTGGTTAGCTAAAGCATTAGGACTACCGGTAGAATTCCTGAATAGCAAAACTGGATGTGGCATTGGTATTATTCAAAACACTGCCAGTGATGCAACTTACATAGCAATATTGGCAGCCAGAGGACGAGTTATAGAGGTTATCATTAACTTTAATTATTTTTTCAGAGTTTAATTTTTTGAACTTTTATTTTTTCCCTGGCAATCTCTTTTGGTTGTTCATATTTCTATTTATAGTAAAACTCCAATGTTTTTTTTTTTTTGATTTCTTTAATTTGTAATCTGATCTGACAATACTGTCAAATATATCTGTTCAGCGTATCAAAACATCTGAAGGTATCATCAACCAAGGATTGGAGGTAATTTCCGATGACTCCGGTGAATTATGCTACTATCCATATCACGATGCAACTATTATAACCAAATTAGTTGCTTACTGCTCGGATCAAGTGATCTTTTAAATTGACCATTAAGAAAAATGAAAAAATAAAGAGAAATTTCAATTTTATGAAAATACTCCAGAGAATGGGGAAAGATATGGATGAAATGAAAAAAAAGTAAGAAAAGAGAAAGAAGAAAAAATATTCAGTGAAATTTTCGAATTTACAAAATTTATTTATTGTATATAATTTTCTGGAAATTAAAGAGTATAGAAGTTAAGCTTCATTTAAGGCGCATTCATCGGTAGAAAAAGGTGTTATGTTGGCAGGTATGCGTTTAAGAAAACTCAAAACTGTACGTGGCGGACCTTTTGATAATTTTTTTGTCACTGCAAAAATTCTTGAAGAAGCAATAATGGTAAATTTTTAAAATTGTTAAAACTGTGAATATATTAAAAACTTGCTAATTACTAATCATTTCTAACTTATTACATTATTTTTCTTCTTTTTATTTGAAAAGAATAAATTTCAATGATATTTTCAGATAGATCGAAAGAATGGTTTAGTGCCATTTATATTCATCATGACATTGGGTACAACATCAACTTGTGGAGTGGATCCGGTGGATGAACTTGGACCAATATGTCAGAGAGAAAATATTTGGATACATATCGATTCTGCATATGCTGGCAATTTATTTAAATTAATTTCAAACAAACAAAAAAAAAACAACTGAAATGAATAATTTGAGGAAAAAGATAAAAGGAAAAATGAAAATAGGACTAGATGTGTTACATTTCTGCATTTTGTTGTCATTCCTCATTCTTCTATTAAAATATTTTTAAGTATACAGTATGATTAAAGTATACAGTGTTAAATCATAGACTATACGGTATTGAAGTATACGGTATGAATTTGAATGGAAAGTATTAAAAGGGATGTATGTTTTTGCAGGAGCATTTTTACTTTGTCCCGAATATCGTTATTTATCTCGTGGATTTGAATATATTGATTCATTCAATGTAAATGCTCATAAAGCATTACCAATAAATTTCGACTGCTCTCCAATGTGGTATATTTTATCTTGTCAATTTCCTACATTAATAAATGATAATGAAGTTTTTGAAATAATCAATCATTCCTCTTTTTTTTCGAAAAAAATACATTTCCAATATGATTAAAAATGACTGAAAAAATTTCAGGTTTAGAAATGGAAGACAAATAGTGAAATATTTTTCAGTAAATCCAATTTATCTAAAGCATGATCAAAATTGTGCAATCGATTATCGGGTAATTTTTCTGATTAATCTTATAGTTATGATGATAACAACTGATCTAGGAACTAAGAATGTCATTTTAGATTTTATAGTGTCATTTTTTCGTACTCTAAAAGTTCTTATAATGAAACTAAAAGCTAAATTTTTACACTTTTTTACATTTTCCGATTTTTTATAGTTTGTTACACTTACTGCTTGTAAACGTTAGATTTATAGCTCGATCTTATAGCATCCTTTAAGATTAGACAGTATATTAATTGGGCCGAGAATGAGTTTCATACTTCTACTGTGAAAAAAAAATGATAAAGCTAGAAGGTATTTTTCAGGGTAGCACTTATATGTGAATATTTATGTCATCCTAACTGTTGATAATACTTTTAGCATTTCCAAATAGCTCTTGGAAGAAGATTTCGATCGTTGAAAATATGGTTTGTATTGCGAAATTTTGGCATTACTGGCCTACAAGAGCACTTGAGAAAGGTTCATTAAAGGACTTTTTTTTTTCAAATTCCTACTTCTGCACCCATTATTCATTTCTCCGAATTTTTCCTCTGATTTCAAAAGTTTTTGTAACATTCACCACAAATGACAGATGGTTGAGCTGGCGAAGAACTTTGAAGCGCTCATCCAAAAGGATAGCTTATTTGAGCTTTTCGTACCGCGAACATGGGGACTGGTATGCTTCCGTTTAAAGGTTCGTTATGATTCGGAAATTCAGTTGAATTTTGAAAAAGAATTTACGTGATCATTTTGCAGCAAGCAAATAAAAAATCTTGGTAGCGACCATATTTAAAATGTGTTATTTACTGCTTCTACTCGTTAACAGGACTCGACAAATGAGATGAATGAGGAGCTCGTTCGAAGAATCAACAAGGATCGCCGTATCCATATATTAGCTTCCGCTGTTCACGAAGTTTACTTCTTGCGTTTAGCAGTGTGCAGCATGTTCACTACATATGAGGATATAAGTCAAGCACATACGATCATCCACAACTTTGCTGAAGATATACGAAGAGATATGAAACAATAAATATTCATTACGAAGTTCAAGTTAAAAAAGCGTAATAATATCACGTTTACGATTTTATGGGACAAATTAAATCTGATCTGAGCAAGGGAAGACTGAATTTACTATTAATTTCCTCTAAGTACACTGCTCAATGGGCCCAGACTTCCATATCATCTTCGTCTCATTTATTTCCTTATTTTCATCAACAATATGCACCACAAAAATCAACACCTAAACGCCGAAAGTAGATGAAACCGTTCCAACAGAACCAAGAATTATTCTTTAATCGAATATGGATATTGCATTTCCCTCTAACTTCCCAGAAATGACGTATTCAAATTGTGACTTAACAAGCCAATGCAAAACATTAGATCAGTAACACTTTATCAGATCAATAACAAAAATCGACCTCCAAAATAAACAATCAAATCATTTTCTTCAGCAATGCATTTATCTGATCTTCACGATTACCAAAGTCACCACCTTCAACAAAATGATTTGTTTTCTTCGTCCAACCACCCGACGGGTTATTCAATTTGAAAGGCCATAGGAAGTTCGTAGCACGCTTGAAATAGGGACCCACATTGAAGATATGATGTACAAGGTCTTCCATACAAATTATATCACATTTCCCTGAAATATGCTGGTAGAAAATAAGCATATGAATAATTAGTTTCGAATGCCCTGATGCATTCTCCGCATCTCGAAAATCGAATCCAAAAGAATGAATGGACAAAAACAAACTGAACAACTTTTCCATGCTCTTTAAAGTATCCGTAGTCTATTCAAAGAGTCAAAGAAATCAAAAAATTACTTATCAAAATGTTAACAAGCTATCAGTAAATGACTGAAAAACTTACCAAGCGCACCCTCCACAATAGAATTGTCCGTGATTGGTATACGTCGGCCATTAATTTTTGCATAACCACGTTTATAAATTAGATCATGAACTGTTTTTATACTCGGATATCCCCACGCAACGTAGGGCTCCACAATACGCAACATTTGCAGTGTAGCCTTGTTCAATTTGATAAAAACACCATTGTTTATTTGTCGTAAGCGGAAGAGTTGAAGAACTTTACGCGGCCGTGGGTGCATTTGATTGATACCACGGATTCGGACCACAAATGCAAGACGTGGTTCATCAGGAACATAAAAGTTGCCTGCTTTTCTAGCTTCACGCTTTAATTGAATTTCTTGTCGCACACGCTGCCTATGTTCCTTTATGTATTTTTCAGCGCGCTTGAAAATCTCAAGCCTCTTCCTCTTCGCTCTCTGAAAAAAAAAAAAACCAGTGTGTTAGATGTTCTAACATGCACAGTAACATTAACAGCAAATATTTCCAACAATTTTTACAAAGCATTGAATCTATCTACGCATATGAACAAAGATCGGATAAAGTCATGAAACGATAACAAACCAAAGCAAACTTGGCTTTTCTGACATTCGCTTTAGCTCTCTCCTCTGCACGCCGCTTTCTTCGTTTCAGTATCGTTTCCGGTACTGTAGGAAGCTTCTTCCTAAATTTTCCAAATTCACAAACGATAAAATATAATATTCTACAAATAATATTACAGAATATGTTTAATTAAAACATTACAATAATATAGACAGAGGTAAACATAACATGGATTAAAAGAACTATCCACATTAGAAGTGTTTTCATTTCACTGCTAATATTCATTAGTTTCGAAATCTCCAAGCATAACAATAAATTAAGTTTAATTATCAGCTCATAATTACTCCAGTTTGATGATCAGGTTATGGACAAATTCCATTAAGCACTTCTACTCGCTTCTTTCAATCAGGATTATCATAAAGAATAATCCAACCATTCCTACATCACTTGAATTGATTCCTTTTCAATTAAATATCAAAAAAAACGAGAAAAAAAGATACTAACTCTGTTGCTGCCAACTTTCCTTCCATATTATCCTGAAATCATATGTAATCAATAAGCTTAAAAAAACAGCATAGCCTCATAGCTCTCAAATACTTTCACCCGAAAAACACCTCCCTCACCCGCCCCCGTCCCCCGCCTCTCCCAAATGATGGACCGCCTCCTCCCAATTCACCACCATTCCCCAAAAACCAAACAACTGTGCTCTTATGCAACGAATATGCAAATCCTTATCTCCACCTTTGGAGACTCTCTTATTATCGTTTGTTTAATTGACCGAAGAAAGGAAGAAGATGGAAGAGATTAAATGAATAAAAGTTTGTTACCTTAACAATTAAAAGTTATTGAGGGAAGTTAATTTTACCGATGAGTTAAGCTATTAATAAGAATCCCTTCGTTTTTTTTTTTTGTATTGAGCAATCGTTTAGGCTTGCAATTTTTGCCAATGTATCATTGCATTTTATAATTTTTCTATAAAATCCTCAACAAGCATCTCCAAATCAAATGCCTTACCAAGTGAATTACAGAACTTTCCACTGTACTTTATATAATCATCTAATGATTAAGCTTCTCCTAGCTAATTATAATGATTAGCTGTAACTTAAATGAGACGAATGTTGGCTGTCAATACAAAATCCAATCCGTTTACATCAGAATTATGTTTCAATTCTCGATCGAATGAAGTGATTATTCATCTTTTTTCGACCAGAATTTTGATCATTTTGAAAGTGCGCTCATAGGAACGTCTATGGCAATTAATGCCTGATTATCTGTCCGATCGATGACACCTCGAGCAGAAGGGGAGCGCGTTGTAATTAAAATGCTCGATCGGATCGGGCCGGATCGGATCGGATCGGGTCGGGTCGAGTCGGGTCGGGTTCCATAGAGAGCATCGGTGTATGGTGAAGCGATTAGCGATGTGAATGTGGTGATAATAGAAGCTTTTCAATTATAAATTAGTTTATATCTGGAAAGAAATCCCGGGTCATAAGAGGTGTTTTTGTGTGTGTGTGTGTTTTTTTAGATTATTATTCGTGTTGCTGATGCTATTGTTGTTTCCTTAGCAAATAAGGTTAATACAGTGTGTATGGTTGTGATATGGGTATTGATTTTTTTTTTTAATTTGATTGTTTGGCATTTAAAATTTTTCCACTTATTCAACCAAACGTGATACGGAACTATTCAACAGGTAATGTTGTTTGTTATTGTTTGTGCAAGATTTCCCATCATATCTAACACAAGCATATCAGCCTTAAGTTATTCAACTATCGAGTATTACACATTTTGGATAAATTTTCCATGTTCAACAATTGTTTGACTTCTCTGTTATTTGCTGCAAAGGATTTTGGAATAAAATAGTTCGGTGCATCGTGTAGAAAGGTCATGCTTTTCCATTCTGTCAATCATGAGAATATTTGATGAACAATGAACTTTACATTTTCCGATTATATTGAGAAGCATTTTAATAAAATGAAAGAGCTCGAATGGTTTCTTGTTTAAGAAACACTCGAGCTCTTAAGTTTTTCAACAAACCCTAAAACATGAGAGAAAAATGAAAACATTCTAAATCTGCTTTAGCATTGCATGAATGACCTATTGCATATGATAAAAGCATCATACATTCTGTTCAGAAATATTTCTCATTCCATTGATTTCCAATGTTGGGAACAAATGTGTTTGTATTTGTTGTGCAACGAAATTTATCACTGTTTTGCAGATTCTGGAAAAAGTTATTTAATATCAAAGTATCACGAGGTTGCTTATTGTTTTGTATCAAAGTATCACGAGGTTGTTTATTGTTTTGTCAGTTACAGTGACTGCAGTTGCGGATACTACTACCACACTTTTAAGTATGGATAACCGTAGATTGTCCATTCTTCGAACTTCTCACCTTTTGTAAAATGGCATATTTTAAAGTGTAGTAAAGAAGAGCATAACGTCTAAACTCTATTGTACCGTGTAAGCCAATAATTAAAATAACAAAGGAAGACTGCATGTTGTTTGTGTGTAATACCAGTAATATGGTAGTAGTATCCATATTAATATTATTAACAACAAGTTAGTTATATACATCATCTTTACTGAAATTCATTTTCTCATCAATTTTAATAAAATGCCATTTTAAGTTAAATGGATCAGTATGTTATCCATTTTAAGTACTTTATGACAAAAATTTAAGTAAAAAACATATCTTTCCATTCATAAAATGCATTGTAAAATGCATTACATTTTTCAACGTTTTGAAGAGAGAAGTGAGAATATTATCATCTGCTGGCTGAGTTCTGATTCTATGACTTTGTTCACCAATTTGTGTGAATTTTTTTTGCTTCTTTTTTAAAGGAATGCTAACTTTGGTTTCAAGAGGAAGCAGTCATTGTTTCCATTGAGTTACATAATTACAGTAGGTTTTTAAAAAAAGTATTCCTCCAAATGATCAGTGATTATCAGGGAAGTGTATGGGAAAAAGGAAGATTTTACGTTACCGAATAACTGAAAAAGTGGTATAGATTGCCAAACGTGTTATGAAAAAAATTTGTTTTTTTTTTCACCAATGTATTTTTATCGTTTGCGTCATTTACATGTTTTTTATTAATGCCTCTTTATATGTTGCTTATTTTTCCAGGATATCAGTAGAAGTATGGGTTCACGCGATGATGAGTATGATTATTTATTTAAAGGTACATGAATTTGATTAAGAAAATTAACATTGTCAAAATATAAATTTTATTCAAGAGATGTAACGTTGTGTTACATCCTTGACCTCACTACATCTTTCTTTACGAATATTTGCAGAGATTATTGTACTTCCTTTGAGGAACATGAATTAATTAAAAGAGCTTTTATAGGAGCATTTTTTATTCAAATTCCTACCAGTGAAAGAATAATATCATTTCAAATTACCATTCTGGTGATAGCTATATTTCTGAATTTCTTGTTTTTAGTATTCCCTGCTGATTTCTCTTGTAGTTGTGTTAATTGGCGATTCTGGCGTTGGCAAATCTAATCTGCTGTCACGGTTTACCCGAAATGAATTTAATCTGGAGTCGAAGTCAACAATAGGTGTCGAATTTGCAACGAGGAGTATACCGGTTTGATTCTCGTCCCTAGGGAATAATATTATTTTAGTTCTCCAATTTCTTATGATGGTTTTCGATTCTAAAATATGTATAGCTAACTGTAAATATTTTTCTATCTGATTTTTTCCGTTGTGTTGTGGATAACCAAAACTAGCTGACAGCAATTCTGTGTGATACTGATTGATTTATTAAGCACTTATTATTTAGTGTCTGTCGTTTACTTGTCTTTTGTTTGATATAGCTCCGCAAAATTTGTTTGAATAGTTGTGCATCTCAGTCAGCTTGATATTTAGGGAGAGAGAGAGAGAGAGAGATTATTAAGATTAGAACACCTTGATCATATAAACAGTAGTAACAAGACACTTGATGGCACTGGTGCACTTGAAAATGAAAATCATAGCTTTGCTAAAATTCGACTATTTTTACTTTACATATTAGTAAAGAGTTGCAGTGCCTCGGTGTAAAATAGAACGGGAAAAATTTGTTAATGGTTTAAATTATTCACAATGATTGAAACAACTCTTAAAGAGATAAGGAAAAGTAGCATAGTATTATTTACTGTTTTTCATCTTATATGTTATAAGTTTAAGTTTTACTATTTAGGGAATTAAAGCTTTCTTAACTCCGTTGGTTATATTATAGCAGGGCAAGAAAGATATCGAACAATAACATCGGCATATTATCAGCTACTTTCTTTGCATGGATTCTAAAAAATAATGTTCCTGTAAGATTCAGTATTAATTTAATTTCTTAACTTTATTTTTTTCTCAAATACTTCAAGTTACAGGTCGAAGGAAAAACAGTGAAAGCTCAAATATGGGATACGGCAGGGCAAGAAAGATATCGAGCAATAACGTCGGCATATTACAGAGGTGCTGTTGGTGCGCTTTTGGTATATGATATTGCTAAGCATGTTACATATGAAAATGTTGAAAGATGGCTCAAGGTCTGTTTTTGTTTTTGTTTTGGGATAGTATGTTATAACGTGTCTTCACATGTATTAACCTAGTAGTTAATGAAGTATATTGCTAAATAAAAGTGAAAGCACTTATCAGAGCTTCGTTCCCATTCACAAATGAAGAATGATGAGTTACCGCTTCTCATTACTATTTGGAATTAGATTACCATACTCACTTGTCAGTGAACTTATCATTATTACACATGGTTAGATTGCACAATTTTTTTTAGGAATTACGTGACCATGCAGACCAAAATATAGTAATAATGCTGGTTGGAAATAAAAGTGACTTGCGTCACTTGCGTGCAGTACCCACAGATGAAGCGAAAGCGTATGCAGAAAAAAATCAGCTATCATTCATTGAAACTTCTGCACTCGATAGTACTAATGTGGAGGCTGCATTCACCAACATCTTGACTGAGGTGGTTAATTAGCACTTTGGGAGTGGAAATTGATGAATAATAAAATGATATTAAATTCTCAATATAATTAGAAAAGTATCAAACTGTTTGAATAATATGTATGATCCAGTAATTTATTGTGTAGCTATTTCCTGCCCGTATCTCTCAAATCTGTTTCTTAAAAAAATTATATTGTACTGTTACAGATCTACAAATCAGTATCTGTAAAGCACGTTGGTGGCGATAATCGAGCTACAATATCTACACCAGGTTCGAATGGTATTGTAATTTCGCCAACAGCTGAGCCCCAAACTAAAAAGCAATGCTGTTCCAGTCTGTGATCCACGTAAACCCCTTTTCTTTCCATCATCAAAAAAGTAACGACGGTAATTTATGGGCTTGGCGGTCGTAGTCTCTCTTTCCATTTTTCTCGTTATTTGCGATTTTCGTTTTAATCTGGAACAGAACAAATTCACTTCTTATTTGTTCCTTTTTCTTTTTTTTTGTTACCTATCCATTATAATTGTAATTTTTAAAATGCTTTACAGAGAGATCTTTCGTACTGTCGTAGCACACCCGTAGGTTTGCTGTGC